TGTGAGATCAACAAAGGCAAATCTTATCTCATCTTATTCTCCCTCAGTCACTGCCTGCACAGTGCTGTATGTGCAAAACCAAGCTGGAAGCGGCTTGTTTTAGAAAATCAGAAGTCTTAATTCTCCTGCCTCCAGCTTCTTAAATGTGAATATTCTCTAGTTTCTTTCCTCCTCTGTGACAGTAAACTGAATATCTTTGTCTTGTAGACGAAACAAGACATTTGTCACCCTGGTCTTTGGAAGACAACAAAGGACTGCCCAGAAAGTCCATCCATCCATTATCTACACACTGCTTAATCCTCACTAGCGTCGCGGGCGTCCAGAAAGTAATTGACAATTTAGTAATAGAAATAATTATTAGATGCAGGCCAACTTGGCATTTTCTATTTAAAATGCTTAGAAAGGTTGAATTTAAATGTATCCTTAAGTACTGAATTAATTTTTAAATAAATATAACTAGAGTATTATATGACTGCCTGACCATGCATTTCATGTTGTAGTGATCAGACTAATACCTCTTGTCATTGATTGTTTCTCTTTTCTAAGTGTCTCCATGCAGACAGTTTACGCCTCTCTAGACATTTAGTGTCTTTTTAAGTTAGTTTTGTTTGCCTTTGTAGTTTTTTTTGTGTCTCTCAGCGGTTGTCTTGTGCCTCCTTTTAGGTGTCTTTGGTCTATTTAAGGTTTCGTCTGTTTTGACAGTTTGTGTTTTGTGCCGCTTTGTGCTCGTTTTCTGTTGTAATGTAGACAGCCTGTAACTCCTTGTAGTTGTCTTGTGTGTTTGTGACGTTTTCCAGTTGTTTTGAGTCTTTTTAGACCCATTGTGTCGTTTTTTGTTCCTCTGCAGCTGTCATGTGCCCGTTTTGCGTCTCTTCGTGGTTGTTTTGTTTCTCTTTACAGTCATTTTGCATCGTTTTATGGTCATTTAATGTCTCTTTATAGTTGTTTTCTGTCTCTTTGCAGACAGTTTGCGACTCCTTGTCGTAGTTTTGTGTCTCTATGTGGTCGGTTGTCCTTCAAGGTAAGAAAACAGTGCTCAGCTCATCAAAACCTCCACTCATTCTCCGTGCTGCCTGTCTTCACTGTTCACGTCCATGAACCGTGTCGTCCATTGAGCCGCTAGCATGCTAACGGTAGCTATCCCGCTTTAACCCGCATCTATGAGCGTGACCGGCGCCGACACACAGCCGGTGACCGGGCCCGCTGTCGGTGTGAACGGACACTTACCAGAACCACCAGACAGTCGGTGCTAACGGACGGTAAGCCCCAGTCTCCTTCCCAACAGAACAGCTCGTCCGGAGCCGCCATTTTAGACGACCTCTCACACCGGAAGAGAAGCACTGAGTATCAACATAAAAGCTCATATTAGAAATAAGAAAATAAAGTGAAACAAAATGAAGTTTATTTTTTGTTTTAGCTGTTTACACACGTGTCTACATAAACGCTTGTTTACAGGCACGATTTAAAACAGCCTGAGCTGTACTTGTTTAATAGGGTTATTTTACCAATTAATCAATTAATCCAAAGGAGTCATTTTCCTTCAATAAAGCAATATAAAGGTTTTATTTAACTCAGTTTATTCAAACTGTATCTTGTATTGTATAAAACAGTAGTGTAAAAAGAAGAGTTTATTTAAGTCAGTATTGCAACTCAAAAAGAAATCCAAGTTTCTATTTAAACCCTTATCAATGTGAAAAAGTTCAAATTCTACGAAAATACAGCTGAATTTTTAGCACGGCCTTCTTATTTAATTTGTGTCTGATGAGTTTGTCCGATGACAATATCAGGCTTTTAGCTGCAGAACAGGTACATTTCACTCACTATTTCATATTCATTCTGCTGTCTGTAAACAGAAACAAAACAATAATCTATAAATGAGGACAGCCGATTTGGGAATTCAGCTCTATTTAAATACAGGATATGGGAGCACAGAGAGCAGGAACAAAGCTAACAGGGAAAAGTTCTTCCTGTGGGTTTTCTCTTCAGGTGTTTGTGGTTCTGCAGTTTACATAGTGTATCAACCAGAATCTGAAGCACCCAAAGACTCTTAAAGCCTTGGTTCTTTGTTAACTTTCACATTTAACTAAGCTGAACATCTGCCATCGTCTAAAACCAAAAGCCATGGAAAAGTTATACATCTTTACATGTTTTTTTTTTTTTAAAGTGTCAATAGAGGAGATAATTTGACTGGAAGAGGAAAGTTATTCTGCTGCAAAGGCACCATCTCCAATTAACTTCAACTCTGGAAATGTTAGCAGCAGCTGGTCTGAGGATCTACGTGTATAGGAGATGGAGTAGGTGCAGAGAGGTTCTACAAAATATTTAATTACAAGTTCTAACTACATAGTAAAGGTGCAAAAGTACCGTCACCAGAACTTATCCATTTAGACCAGACAGGATTCATTCAACAAAGACAAACACAAGATAATATCAGGAGAACATTGCACATTATTAAACATGTCACACAACAGAAAATAGAGACAGCCATCATAAGATTAGATGTTGAGAAGGCATTTGATTCATTTAGATGGTCCTTCTTGTACAAAATTCTGTTAAAGTTTGGATTCCATATGTATATTATTGGGCTGCAAAGTGGAGCGGTGGTTAGCATCGTTGCCTCGCAGCAAGAAAGTTGCTGGTTTGCGTCCCGGTGAGGATACCCAGGATCTTTCTGTGTGGAGTTTGCATGTTCTCCCCATGCAGCGTGGATTCTCTCCGGGTTCTCTGGCTTCCTCCTTCCTAAAGTCAAACATTTCCAGATGGAATGGTATACCCTTTTTGAATTCAAGTTCCAGAGCAGAATCGATTAATGGTCTGATACTTTAATGAAAACCTGGCAGATGACTGTAAAACTCTGCGGATTAATCGACTTATCTAAATTATTGAAGTACTGTGCCTATGATAAAGACTTTGTCCCAGATAGATTTGATGATACATTTTGAAAATGGATAACAAAAGGCTGGACTAATTACCAGTCATTTGTCCACAAGGGGGCATTTCAGAGCTTTGAAGCATTACAAAAAAATCACTGTATGGAGCGAAATGGTTTTTATAGATACCGTCAAGTTTGCCATTATTTTAACCAGAATCTGAATACAGTCCTACAAGCAGCCGACACAGGGATTGTGAAAATACTCTTGTCATCAACCAAATCCACAACATGTAACAATATTGCGTCCCGAATTTATAATCGCATTCTGTAGTCTATGCCTGGGAGTACACTTTACAAAAAAGAGAAGTGGGAGACAGAGGGAAGCTTCACAATCTCAGAAGAGGGTCAGAGTAGTATTTGTCAGATACAACGGAGTTCAACTAGTTCAACTACATGGCGGGAATTTTGTTGGGAAAACGTTGTGACTGTGGTGACTGTGTGGCACAAATGAGGCCAATCACCTCCATATACTCTGGAACTGTCAGACTATTGTGCCTTATTGGAAGACATCCATAAGCATGTTAACAATGTATTTGGAGTCAGCATATCATTTGGATGTGACACCGTGTACAGGGTCGAGTCTGAGGGTTGAAGTAATAATGACAAAAAACTGTTACAAATACTGCTTACCACAAGTAAGAAAGGCTGTAACAAGAAAACGGTTAAAGCCAGAGCCCCCCACCATTGACATATTGTATGAAATATATAATATGGAAAGAGTGACACTTTCACTCAGAACCCAAAAAGAAAGATTTTACCTGATTTGGACCAAATGGACGGAGTACACTAAACCCATAAGGTCAGACTTTAACTGACAAAGTTTGATAATATTAATTAAATAAATGTAATTGCTTTTATGTAATCCCTTCCATATACATTTTATATTATAGCAATACCCAAGTGGAAAGCTCCCTATGTTCACTTGTTGTTAAATTATGTCACCAGAGAAAACCTTAAAGGAAGAGTATGATGTAAGCAGATTTTCTTTTTGTTTTTCTTTTCGTGTGTGTGTGTGTGTGTGTGTGTGTGTGTGTGAGGATGTGAGTGCACACAGTGTAAATACTGCTCACAGAAAAACTGGAAAATTATAAATGTACTGTAAAATTAATGCTTTCTGAAAATCATAATATAAAAAAGTTCCATCAGCTTCATGTAATCAAAGTATCAGTAGTAAAAGAACAAACATCTTTGTTCCTTGCATAAACTGTCACTTCTGTGTATTTTTTACTGCTGCTGTTCAAATATTTTGTCATCTTTTATGAATAAGTGATGACTGTGGGACACCTTCTACTTCGCCCACACATCATGTACCGTTAGTTGGTGTTTGTGTTGGTGAGTTGTGAGTTGTTTTGTGTCTCTGTGGTTGTTTTGTGTCTCTCAGCAGTCAACTGTTTTGTGTCTTGTTGTGCCTGTTTCGGTTGTTTAATGTCTTTTGCTTCAGTGTTTATACGGAGAAATCCAAATAATAAAAATAATATAAAATACAATATAATAAAGCAAGACCCTTGAATGTGTAACCAAGTAAAAACACAACATTCAAATCAGCCTCAACGTAAACATGTGACGCTGTTTTCCGGCGTGTTTTAGGCCAAGCATGTTCAAAAAGGAACTTACACTTCCTTTTCTTCTGTGTCTCAAGTGTTGAGTTCTAAAACTTACTTCCAGTTATTTGGGCTAAACTCAGTTACTCAACCACTTTTCTTACTGAAGACATCTAGACTATTTGATTCTTAAAAAGAAGTAACTGCAGATGTTTCAGTATGGCTAAGTCTGATGTATTTTCTTTCTTAAGATCTTACATTTCATTGGAGGTGTTCATGTTTCCTGGTTTCTCAACTAAAAACAGGAACACACAGCTTAGCTTAAATTCATCTTTATTTACAGGGAACAAAATAAAGCATTTTTATATAAAACAGTAAGTTATAAAAAATACACGTTTGTGGGGTTTTTGGCAAAAAAAAAAAAAAAAGAGGTAAAAACAAATAATATATTCACAATGAGTACAAACAATGACAAACAATGCTCCTTAGTCTTGGGATTTGGATGATTTCAGCAGGTTTCTACTTCTGATATGGTTCTGGACACACCAATTGATATTTGTTGGTACAGTAGTTTTTTCAGACTGGATTCCATTTTTTCAGTAGCAGGCGTATATTGCTGTTCTGTTTTCTCCTGCTCATACCGGACATTAGCTTTCAAAAGTGGTTTTTATTAAAAGTAATAGGGAATGTTTGTGTGAAATTAAGCAGTTAGAAGCATTAAAGCAAATCGTCCAGAAAGAACACAGACTGTATATAAAAGCCAGATGTATCCACCAGTACATCTGAAAAGTGACTTAAACCTGCATTTTATCTAACAGCCACCAGTGGGCGACTCCTCTGGTTGTAAAAAGAAGTCCGATTGTATAGAAGTTTATGAGAAAATAAGCCTCCTTCTCACTTGGTTACCTCAGCAAACATTTTTCCAATGAGTTTTTGATCTCAATCTTTTGCTTTTAGTTTCCTTCAAAACAGCATGATGCTCGTTTAGTAAATCATGGTCTCATTTCAGAAAATAGACAATAAAGAAGGGTGTTGGTTTTTCTGCAGGTACCTCCATCTACATTATGGAGCCTCTACTCCACACAGGTTTTTCATTGTATATTAGGCGTCTATTAGAATATGTGTGCAGGCTAAAAGGTTCAGGAGCACCTTGTTTTTCTTATTTACATTTCTTACACAGGTCATCTAACCCTCTGATTTAGCTCCTGTGTCTTTAAACCTGACTCCTGAAAAGCCTGTTCTGTTCTGATTCATCAGTGGGCCCAGACCAAAGCGAGGCAATGTTGGTCACATACCGCTCCAAATTTCACACTTTTTCTTTTTACTTCCAGAACTTACTGCATCTGCCCAAAGTACATACTGTTGCATGTTACATCCATGTATTCATACTTTAGGCCTAAACTGTTTTGGCGGCTCAAGGTTGTTTATGCATGCGTGAGATACCCTGACATATCACTTGTTTTCCAATACATAGCTGATTGTGGGTCAGAATGGCTTGAAAAACACCCACCATACCTCCAGATCTATGAGTATAGGGATGCAGCTCTTACTGAAGTGACTCTATTGAGGCTAATGTCAGACTACGAGGCAACTGCTCATTCTTAGTTTAAGGGCCAGACTAACCAGTAGGCAAGCATAATGCAAATGTGTTACATGGTGGCGTAAGTAAGTAACAGAAGAAAAGCCTGCATGGCTGTGAAAGCTGTGAGCTTTCATAAAGAAATTTTTGTTTTCTGTAGGGAACCTTTAGCTCGGTTTCCTAGATGCTGTCAATAGTTTTGCCCAAGCTGATGGTCAACATCAATGATACACTGCTGTGACAAACCGTCACTTGCCAGGCTGATAAAGTTTAACTTGATCAAAGGAACTGACAAATATTAATTCCGACAGTGCAGAGTCTCCTGTGGTCGACATATTCAATGGCATCCTGTGGGTGTTAATGAGATGTCACTTCAGCCTCGACTGGCGACGGACGAGTAGACGACAGAGTCCTCTGCCTCCCGCACTTGCCTTAAAAAACAAAAAAAGCTGAGTATGAGTGAAGATTGAGTCCAAATCAAGGCCACATCCAAAAGAAGCTAAATCTGAATTAAGACTGGGACCAAATGGAGTTACGTCTGAGTTTAAAGGGAATTGAACCTTTTGCCAAAAGGGGCCAAAAATGAAACTCAAACTCCAGATTGAGTCCCTACAAATCTGAATCTAAGTCAAGGCTGAATCCAAAATGACTTGAGCCTGAGTCAATACCGAGTGCACAAATAATTGAGACAAAGTTAAAATTAAGTCCAAGCAAAGTTGAGTCGGAGTCTGGAATGTGACTAAAAGAAGCCAAATCTAAGTAAAGACTGAGCTGAGGAGGAGTTGGGGCTCAACCAAAATGAAATCCAAAATTAGTGTCTGAGTCTGAGTCAAAACTAAGCTTAAAAAAGAGTCAAGGCAGAGTCAAGACTAAGTTCAGAAGAGGTCAAGTCAAAATCAACATCTAGTCTGAATCTGAGGCAAGACTAAGTCCAAAAGATGTGTCCGAGTCAAGGTCTAATCTAAAATGGGTTGATACTGAGTCAGGACCGAGTTTATAAGGAGTTGAGGTCAAATCAAGATGAAACCAAAAAGGAATTTAGCCTGAGTCAAGATTGAGTCCAAAAACAAGTCAAGTCAATCAAGATCAAATCCAAAAGGTATTGGGACAGAGCTAAGATTGAGTGCAAAAGGACCTAAGTTTCGGTCAAGACCATGTCCAATAAAGGTTGCATCAGAGTCAAAAACAGTCCAAACATGTTGAGCCCAAGTCAAGAGAGATTCCAGAACAGGTTGACTCCGAGTCAAGATCAAATCTAAAACAGGTCAAATCCAAGTCATCACCAAGTTCAAAAAGAGTTGAGTCTGAGTCGAGAGAGTTCAAAAGAAGCTGAGTCAAAGTCAAAACCACACCCAGAAGAAGCTGAATCCGTACCAAGGATGAGTCTAAACAAGGTAGATTCTTAAAGAAGTCGAGTCCTGGTGGAAATTAACTTTACAAGGAGTTTAGTCTGGGTCATGATGGAATCAAAAAGAAGATAAGTCTGAGCAGAGTTTGGGTCAAAAGTGTTTTCAGCTCGAGATGATTAAGCTAAAAGAATAATCTTTTCAAAAACAGACTTAAATGCTTTTTACAGCTCTTTCCGCAGTGTTTTTTATTTAGCTGTTATTATTCTCTGATTATACTTACAGCTGTGTGTTTAATGCTTGGATTGTACTGTACAAATAAAGTTCGTTAATGCTATCTGTTTCATTTCAGACAATGTTGTCTTCAACTCTTTCTCAGTTCCTCTGAGCTCCTCCATCAGTGTCTGATTCCCACCAGGAAATCTAATATCTGGACGTCTTCAAGCAGCATGTAAAATTTACATCCCCACATCTCAAACATTTGTCTGTCCTACCTTTTCTGTTTGTTTTGTTTGAACTGGAAGGAGGCGTAGCTGACATCCTCCACAGCTTGGCTGGTTTGTGATCGGTCATAGACTTCCTCTTGCTCTGACGGTGGCATGATGTTGCTATAGATGGCGTCAGCATGCTAAAACCACAGACAGAAAGTAAAAAAGGGAAAGAGGGCCAAAAATACAGACACACAGCTGAAACCAGAACTTTACATACACTGTATAAAAAGACACATAACCTTTTTTTTTCCCTCACTGTCTGACATTAAATGTGACTAAACTTTTTATGTTTTAGGTCAGTTAGGATTACCAAAAATAGTTGTATTTGCTAAATGCCAGAATAATGAGAGAGAGAATTTTTTTAAAGAGATTTTTTAAAATTGATTTCTTCAAAGTCAGAAGTTTACATACATTTCCTTAGTATTTGGTAGCATTGTCTTTAAACTCTATGACTTGGGTCAAATGTTTTGGGTATCCTTCCAAAAGCTTCTCCCAATAGTTTGATTGAGTTTTGGCCCATTCCTCCTGACAGAACTGTTGTAACTAAGTCAGGTTTGTTGGCTGCCTTGCTCCACACACCTTTTCAGCTTTGCCCACAAATTTTCCACAGGACTGAGATCAGGGCTTTGTGATGGCCACTCCACACCATTGACTTTGTTCTCCTCAAGCCACTTTGTAACTAATTTGATGTTATGCTTCAGGTCATTGTCCATCTGGAAGACCCCTTTAGACCCAAGCTTTAACTTCCTGGCTGATGTCTTGAGATGTTGCTTCAATATTTCCACATAATGTTCTTTCCCCATGATGCCATCTATTTTGTGACGTGCACCAGTCCCTCCTGCAGCAAAACACCCCCACAACATGATGTTGCCACCCCCGTACTTCACAGTTGGGATGGTGTTCTCAAACTTGCAAGTTCCCCCTTTTTCCTCCAAATCTAACGATGGTCATTATGGCCAAACAGTTCAATTTTAGTTTAATCAGACCACAGGACATGTCTCCAAAAATGAAGGCCTTTGTCCCTGTGTTCATTTACAACCTGTAGTCTGACTTTTTTTATGTTGCTTTTCGAGTAATGTCTTCTTCCTCTCTGAGTAGTCTTTCAGCCCATGTCGGTACAGGACTTGTTTCACTTACCAGCTTCAGCAGCATCTTCACAAGGTCTGTTGCTTTTGTTCTGGGGTTGATACGCACATTTCAACCAGAACACTTCATCTCTGGACACAGAACCCGTCTCCTTCCTGAGCATCATGATGGCTGGACATTCCCACAGTGTTTATACTTACGTATAATTGCTTGAAAATATGAACATGGAACCTTCAGGCATCTGGAAATTGTACCCAAGGATGAACCAGACTTGTGGAGGTCCACAGTTCTCTTCCTGATATCTTGGCAGATTTCTTTAGATTTTCCATGTTGTCACAAAAGGAAGCAGTGTGTTTGAGGTGTGCCTTAAAATACATCCACAGGTGTGCCTCCAATTAACTCAGATGTTGTCCATGAACTTATCAAAAGCTTCCAAAGCCATGACATCATCATCAGGGCTTTCCCAAATAGTTTGAAGGGACAGTAATTTTAGTGTATTTAAACTTCTGACTTTGAAGAAAGTAGTAAAAAAAAATCTCTAAAAAAATTCTCTCTCTCATTATTTTGGCATTTAGCAAATATAAATAATTTTAGTAATCCTAACTGACCTAAAACAGGAAAAGTTAAGTCTGATTTAATTTCAGACAGTGAGAAAAAAGGTTTTGTGTCTTTTTATATAGTGTATGTAAACGTCTGGTTTCAACTGTGGTTGATAGCTATTTAAATCTGCGTGACTGCGTGACAAACAGGGAGCAACGCATTATAAGCTATCAATAGCTATCTCTAAAACAGATGCTTTATTCAGCTGTGATCCTATGTGAGTTAAAAAAACTAAATAAGTTACTTACAGCAGTATTTTAAAAGGTGCTCTTTAGAAAGGCTTAAATTTAATACTCGTGTTTTTTTCATTACATGTACCACTGCTTCTTTCTACATTAAAAATGAGACACTTTAAAATCTAAGACATATCTCAAGCTAAAAATCTGTGCTTAAAAATAAAAAGTAGTATTTTACATTAGTACAGGAATTGTATTCCATGCAATGTATTCCAAAACAGCAGTTTAATAAGAATGCAAATGTTTAACTTGTGTTGTTTTGCTAAACTAATGTACTTACTAGTAGTCCACTGATAAGTGTACATCATATTGCAACACATATACTTCACATATCAGGAAAATACTTGATTATTTATCCATGCCAGTTGATATGCTATTTGTATTTCTTGGATATGGATGAGTTTAGTTTTCTTTCTCAATCCAGTTAGTTTTCCTTTCTGTTTTTTATTATTCATTCTTATAATATGAGACTTTTCTGAGATTATATAAAAAGGAGCCATAAAAAATATATTAGTGAGAACATGATGTTATAATAACACAGAACACAGGTAAAGTAGTAAATAGTAAAAAGAAAAACAGTAACAAAACTTGGTGTACAGTTCTTGTTAAGTACATAATCACACTGACAGTCTTTATTCCCTCCACCACCACCATCATCCATCTTGGTTAAAATAATAAAGAAAAAAAAAACAGCCAGGAGAGTGTGGGTAGATAACGGGGTTAGTTAAACAATTTAAACAGAAATAAAAGTCAATTCTATAATGATACTGAGACAGTTGCTCACATCGGTGACTCACCTTTTGCTCCATCTCACCTCCCACATCACTTCGATCCTCTGCTGCCGCTCGCTTCCTGCAAGCATTGAAAATAGACAACAAGCACATGTAAAGAATTAAAGGGAGGTGTTGAAGAAAGAATGGCACAACACAATGACATATAAAAATGTTTGTTGTTATCACCAACTGGTGATATCATAAGTAAAAAAAGGTATCTTGTAAGTATGAGTTACATGTAAATATATATAATATGTGCAAATAAACATAAAATTATAGGTACAAAAAAGAAATTCTTTCATTGTTTTCTATTTGTGAGATTATTTTAACTAGTACATCATGTAGGAATAGCAGAAAAGCTAATGAAGATGCCTGACTTACATTCATGATCTCATGGGATTAGCTAGCATGCTAGGTACAATAACAATCCTGTGACTGACTCAACCAATACAGTCATCCTCAAATTTGTTCATACCCTTCCATTAAAGAAAAGGCAGAATTCACAGTAGTCACTCAAATAACTAGAATCTGAAAAAAGTAATAATAAATAAAAATTTGCTAAATTATAATTTAGTGAAATAAGACATTGCTTTTGAATTGTGGTTGAAAAGAATAATTTTAAAAAAAATAAAAAAAAACTGTCCGGGACAAATTAGAACACTTTGCTGATGAGCAGTGGGCCAAAATCAAAATACCTGTCAACAGGTGCAGAAGTCTGATTGAGAGTAACAGAAAACACTTGTTTGCAGTGATTGGCTCAAAATATTAGTTTACAGGTCCCATCATACTTGGACAAAACAGATGCATTGTTTGAGTGTTTTAGCACGTGCTAATTCGCAACAATGGAAGCAGGATTAACGTTAGCTTGTGTGAGCTAACACAGCGACACAAGCTAGCCAGCGTGTCTGTTAGCACAATGGTTGCGTGAAGGCGACTTCTCTGTTATGATTATTCTTACTGCTCTTTGTTTGATTCTTAATTCAATGCTTTTTAGCTGAAAAGTTGTTTTTGTCATATACATACATGGACTTTTCCTTTATTGCTATTTAATTTTAAGTGTGTCTGCATTTACTTGATGTGCCTCAGTGTCATTTAAAATGACAACAGTTTGTTTTAAATAAAATAAAGGGAAAGAATAAATTACATTAGTTTTTGTAGGTTTTGCTTCTTTATTTGTCTTACTTACTCACTTAAATCTTGTTTTTGTCTCTTCTTTATGAATTATCCACATATTGAAAGCATTAAGAGCACAGTCAGAACTCTCCTGAGCCAGCCAGGACTGTTAGACACATAGTTAGTCAGCATTTAAATAAAATAAATAAATAAATCAGCATTATGCTACAGTAACTGCACACAGGCTGATGATATCACAGCAAAACTGAGTTTGAGTGTATCATCAAGTCTTTGTCCCTTCCAGAGAACATAAGAGGAAGTTTAAATATACATATTGAAGGGTTTGTATTTTGGCAGTGGAACAAGATTTTTTTTAATTCAATTAATACCCACATTGAAAAACATCATGTTAAATGTAAACAAACAAACAAACAGAAACCTCTGCATTTAATATGTATATTCTAAAAAACAAAGACAAAAAAATGTAAAACAAAAATGTACTGTACAAGTATTAAAAGTAAAATTGTGGTATTGTTTCTTTAACTCGGTGCTTCAGTGGTGCATTTAAAAAACATACTATAGAGTGAAGCATTAGGTTATGAAATAGGGAGGGTCAATGATAGTTTATTTAACGTGTCATTCAAGTAAGTGCAGCTGCAATATGTCCAACGC